AATCAATTGGAAAATATTCAGAATATCTCTGTTTCTATGATGCCATGATAGAGAGGAAAAAGTACTGCATTTTTCATGTCATTTATATCAACTTGGTGAATTAATTGATTGATTGAAATATTTCAGGTGCATCAATTGGAAACATTTTTAACTTTCAATAACTTTGTATAAAAAAAATATACATCAAATTACTTTAAATAATAAATAGTCTCTAATATGAAAGCACCATTAGTTCATTCTTGGTTCAACTTGAACCAGCCCAGTCTAACTTGCTCCAATGTTGGAGTAGTTTTGCTTCTTACCAGGAAGCTCTTGTTGATTATGTTAGAATATTATTGATGGTTACAGTTAGGCAATATATTTATAATAATAAATTCATTACTTTTTATCTGATTCTCCTAATAAATCTCAAAGTTCTCTAAATACAACCTCAACTAATTTTCCAAAATAAATCATAACAACTTCCAAACCATTCTAACAGTAATTGAATAAAAACAAACTAAACCACAAATGTACTGGCTGGTTTCGCATCCATTAGTAAAAGTTTTTGTAATTACAGTACAGATAGTGATAAAATGTACTCATTCATGTAATTATCGTGTGCAACGGTGAAAAGCGATACTCTAATGAGAAACAAAGTAATAGAGTAGGTTTTCTGAGGAAGACTTGTAGCAGCAGAATCGTTGAAGATTTTACTAAAGGTTTCAGAGAAGATTCAAAGTTATGGAAAGTTACGGAGCAGTCATGTTTCTACTCCAAAATTTTACTATGAACTTTATGATACCACAGAACTGTTGTATTCTATTGTAGCAGCTGTATGAAAGAACATGACTTTTAGTAAAAAATAAAATTTGGCAAAGTAATGTTTGAGTTTAATTAATTTGTAATAATTATATCATTGTTTTCTAATTTTATATACTTTTATTATCATTATACATAATATTTATAATATAGATAATGATATGAAGAAGAGATAAATTTTATTACAAAAGTACAATGTTCAAATCATTACTGAAAAATGTTTTTCCTTGATAATTACTTTGAAAAAAAAAGTAAGCATGGTTTATCATTATATTCTATGTTTAATATTAATCTCATTCTTTTGATAAAAATAATAGATAAAAAATCTTTTAAATAAAATAAATAAAAAAGATAAAGTTTTAAATGAATACACTTTTTGTGCATACTTCAAAAAGACTTTTTTGTAAAAGAAAAAAAAAATTGCTCATCTTTAAGAGTATTTTTATCTTTGTCACAAAATCTAGCCAAAAGATTTCTTTTATCATATTTTTCCCTTATGTTTGATATTTGAAGCATATTCTCTGCTTCCTTTGACTTAGATTTTACACCTCAAATCAATAATTCCTGTAGTTTCAAAATTCAAACAGTCTGGTTAGCATAAATGTGTGTGTGTGCGAGGGTGTGTGTAAATGTATACTGATGTTGAGATAAATATTCTGACGTAACAGGGAAATCCATTAGAATGTTAAAAAATCAAATGATATAACTGTTCTAGATGTCATCACTGTATTTAAAAACATATAATTCCAACATGACATGAATTCTGATTTTGTTTTTCATGAAAATAATATTTATTGCAATTCTAGATAAACTCATGTATTTTATAATGAGAGTAAAAATCTTCTTGTAAATTTTTAAATATTGTATTTTTCTGCTATTCACAATTTTATGTCATTTATAGATAAAAATATTTATATTTATTTAAATCTAACTGCTATGAATACCATAAGTTATGAGCTTTAGGTTTAAATATTGAATTTAAACTAGTACTTGCAAGTATTCTTGATGATAAAAATTTCTATTCCATGTTCAACTATTTACATATTACATACACCCAAGTCCAATGTATATATGAACATTTGAAAAAAAAATATGTCAATCAATACAAAGTCATGAATTGAAAAGTTCTGAAACAATGAATGAATGTATTTTTAGACTTGATGTGTATTATTATTCTCTAAAAGTTTCTTAGATTTATATTATTTTAAGAAATGTGAGTATAAGGATAGACGAAGATTAATAGCATGATCAACTTTGCTTTCATTTTTCACTTATTTAATCCGAACATTCATTTTCTGACGAAAAATCAAGATTGTAATGCCCTAAGCGAGGGTGAATTCTACTAACTACGATTAACTTAATTAAAGATTAAACTTTATCTGGGATTAACGATCAAACATAAAATATGTTAGCTGTGCTATCAAATAAGTTTAATGGGATAGTGATCATGCTTGTTCGAAATTTTAAGGGCTTTAAAAAAGCACATTTTATTTTTAGAAAATATTACTTTTTTTAATGAGGGTTTTTTATGTTATTAAAAATTATCTAAATTGCAAAATGATTGGTTTAAATCCATAGTAAAATGATAAAGTTAATTTTATGAATGATATAACTCAATCAAATGTTCATATTCACTATTTATCTCATTTAATCACTAATTTATTGATTATCTATTCAAACTTTACTTTGAAAAATTTTTTTTCTGAATAATTACTCAAGCTTTTATTCATTCTCATTCTAAAAAACCATTTTATAATAATTAAATACATTTTTACATCAGTTATGAGCTAATCAAAAAATTATTTGCCCAGAAGTTTAAATTTTAATTTTCCTTTCATCAATATTAATTGACACTTTTTCAATACAAGTATTGATTATTAATATTGTCTAAAAAATTTATTTATTCTTTAACAATAAAAAAAAATGCTTGAATTAATTTATAGGAGTTAGAAAGATGTATCTAAAGTTTTACAACATCTAATTTTATAGTCCCATTGTTGAAGTATAATAAATGATAATATCAACTGTAATTGCGATGTGGTGAAGTGAATGGTAAATTTAAAAACTTGAACTGGACCTTTCAGGTCATCAGTGACAATAATCAAGGACTGAGGAGGAATACCCAGTGGTCGAGCAATTTCAGGAATCTCGTGATAGTCACCAAGTCATATACGAAAATGAAACTCACCCAGATACCTCGACATTCACAAGAGAATGGAATAGAATGAAAATAGTAAAACTATTATTAATCATGTAAAGTTACTTTTCATTTTTACTCTAAAGTTCTTTAATATAAAAATAGAAATATTTTAAATATAATTCAAGCTACTTTGCAACCTCTTTGAACCAATAACTTATCATCAATAGCTACAATATGGATTTATTTTTTGTTAGCACCAACTTTATTGGTATTTTTAAATTAAAAAACATTACTAGACAATTTATTTCAATTATATAATAACAAATAATATCATTTAGTATTTATCGAGGTAATAATCTAAGTAATAATGTTATTTGATATCAGTTCAGTTAATTTTATATCATGTGTGATATGAAAATATTATTCTGCAGTTATTACATAGTATCCACCATCAAAGCATCCATCACAATGTTTTATTTCTATAATTTTTCAGGTGGATTATGTCAGGTAATCTTTACAGATAACAACTTTTAAAAACTACCATTTTCACAATAATAACTTTTGATATCAGATAAAAGAATATTATTTTACTCACAACATTTACATTTTATTCTGCATGAGCTTTTTTTTTTGCTACATGTTCTAATGACCAATCTAGGTCATCTAAAAACTTGAGCTTAAATTTTTACATTATAAATCTTCGATTGCCATTAACAATCATGTACATATGACTAGGAAGATTAAACTAATTAGAAGCTTGAAAAAAAATCTACTAAGAAGTAATGTAAAGATGAATAAATGATAATTATTTTTCTGAAGAATATGAACTCTATCAAGTAGTCATGATGATCCTCATTAGTGGCTAAGGATTAATAGAGGTTAATCTGTTTTCACTGTAATATTATCTAGAGCAGAGTATATCGAATTTTGCTTCAAAGTTCAACGCATTTATCAGGTTTGAGTATTTGAATAGGAAATTTTCTATTGAAATTCGAATTTTTATGGATATAAGGTGATTCTTCTACTGACTAAAATGCTGAGAATTTAAATAATATTTCAAAAATTGAATTCAAATTTTTTTGAGATGTGAATAGGTAATGTGAATTGTGAATAAAAAATTTTTTTAACCTAGATTTTTTTTTTTTAAAAATAATAAATTAATTAACCTCTAGAAATAATATAACTTATGCCCTCGCAGGCTATGTTGAAAGAGAGAATTTATTATTCATAGAAATAAAAAATAACTTAAAAAAAATATTTTTTAATCCTGAAGAACTTAATTAAAAACAAGCATTTAGCTTTTGTGATAGTCTATGAGAAAGAATTCTGGTAGAAATCAAATTCTGATGATTAAAATACATTCTGATCTAAAAATAGTTATCTTTTTATCAATGACTAATTCGTTATTCGTCTATATGAGTAATTAATAATTATAAAACAGTTATATAATTACGAATTCTTCACCATAATAATTGAAAACAATTTCATTGACATTCACAAATGAATAATAATTATACAATAACCATTTAAATGATAGTAATAAATATCTTGATCACCAAAACCTCTAGATTAAAATGCTATAAAACAACTTGTATTTCATCATAATCAAAATTCATTAAGATTCACAATCCAATAGCTGTATTCCAGTAGTTAAAAATGAAAAATTCCATTTTCAATCAAAATTTTAATTTTTTTAAACTTGATTGTGCAAGCTTTGATATTACTACAAATTGTTATAAATTGGGAAGGTATTCATACCAGCATACTTTAGCCAAGTAATAACCAGATTGTTGGATGAGTTAGGTATATTCATAAAAACTGCAATCGATTAATTATAATTAAATCACAAAACCTTGTGCAATTAGACTATGTCATCAAAGCTGTGTAATTCACTTCAGTTTTGGTATTCAAAACTGTTTCAATATCACTATCGATCCATGTTACACTTGTCATTGATTAAAAGATAACAATCTTGAAGATTTATTTTATCTGTAGCACAGCAAAAAAATATTCATTGAAGAATAGAAAATTATTATAAATTCTGTTGAAAAGTACTTACATTGCACTGCGGGTATCAGGAATCTCTCTATTACTTGGCAATCCATCAGAAGCTTCTTGGTTGAATTTATTTCGAGTGTAAGGATCTTCACCAACTTTTAAGCCACCTCGTGACACGTAGCTGTAAAAAAACCATCAATTTTGACTCTGACAGTAATTTATTGACACTTAGAAGGTTGAGTTTTTAATCTATTAAGGCAGTCCGGCATTTAACTATCAGGTTTATAAGTGAGCACTTATCTGAAGAGATCTCTTATTCTCCATAAATTATATCTCATCCTATAATCAATGATAATAGAAATACATATTAATTTAATATGATGATAATGATGATGATCAATAATGGCTTTATTTGAGCACCATATTAATTAATATCCCAATATTGCTCCTGGTGTTGATAATCTTTTTCTTATTGTTTTTAGTTTCAACATGGACATGGTAGCACAGCAATTGGGTGGATGATTGAGGATAGATGATGGTAAGATATTGAAGATCAACTTGCTATTGAGAAGAATTTTTCAAAAGTGTTTGAAACATGTCTTGTGGTGACATATGGCAAGCATTATTTTTCCAACTTTTGGGTTTACTGTAGAATGTTTTTTTCAACTTCTAACTGAAACTAAGTCATTCTTTACCAGAAATCAACCTGTCAATGTAGATAATCTATCTAGAGCAATAATGGTATCTTTATTTACTTCTGCCATTTTTGTTGTCAATGTTTTTATTTAGTATTCAACGTTCAATAGTGAGAGTATTATCTTTTCAGCATTGACTTTTTACAATTGGTAATAAATCTATCAATTGGATTCTTTTATAGAAAATCGTCCCATTAATATTAAAAGCTCAATTTATTCATGATTATTTGACAAAAAACGTTCTAAATTGAAAGGAACTAGATAAAATGTACAAATGTATTTTATAAAGAAATAAATTAAAAGATTGTTATTTTTTAATTAAGTATATTTATTTTCAAACTTGTTGGGGATAATCTTCATTGTTAAGGAATCTAGAGCAAGATTCTCATTAATTCCAAGTCTTTCATTTCCCTTAAAGGATTAAATACTTGATACATTTGTTGTTCATGCATTAATCCGATTAAAAATATCCCTTCCTCTCTTTTAGCGTCAATCGTTGAGCCGGAAATGGCTTCTCTATAAATTCTAACGGAATTATACTGTCAGGTTAGCAATAAGGAATCATCAAACAGTCTTAAGTTAAAGGAGTTATATATATATATATATGCATATAAAAGAAGATTTGTGACATTTTATCTCTGACAGCAAGTCAATAAATTTATTCATTAGAATTAAATTACTAAAACTATTTTAATGAATAATAAAAAAAATTTAGTCGTTCATAAAAAAATCAAGCTTTTACAATAATTATCTAGTCTCCGTAAAATTTTTTGACATTCAGTTAATTAATCTGCCAAGGAAACTTGATAAACTACATAATTAAATGAAATTAAGGAAAAATTCATTTTCAACGTCATTCAAAGTTTGTTTAATTTTCAATTCAGTATTTAGACAGTGGATTTAATGTCTAAATTATTTTCTTAAAATTACTACATTTTATGTCAATCATATTAAGTTTTTTTAGTTGAAATAAAAATTCATAAAATTTAAAAATAAATTCCTTTTCCTGTTTCAACAGGACGTGATGTTCATGTTTTAAATTTTAGTTTTATTTTTCCTATTTATTTACCTATTTCAGAGAAAATTATCTGATGAAAGAATCATGATAAAACAATGTATCCGGTTTTATTGTTAATAAGCTTATTTCCTCGACATTTAGTTGAATCAACGTCAAATTTAATTGTTTTGTTCTAATTATAATACTTTAATTCATTATAAAGAATAATAAAAAGTTTACTATTCATTATTTCTGTTACTTTAATCATTGTTTCGTAGTTTCACTAACAAAACATTTGATAATAAATGTTGAACAATTTTTTGCAACATGGAAAATAATACTTTTGATCAAGAAAATTATTTCATGTCAGTGTTATCATGATTTAAAAACTAGAAATGTAATTGGTTAATTAACTACAGATAATTTTTACTCTAATGATGAAATATAATATTTAAAAAAAAATTAATAAAGATATATATTTACTCAGATAATTGATTGGAATCATGACAGCTGATAATAAATATTCCTCTCATTATCACTGCAGTTATAAAATGTTTAAGAATCATTTTTGGAGCAAACTAACTATTAAAATGTATCAAGAAGCTATATTTTTTCATCTTAAAGTTACAGATCTATATTTATAGCAGTAATAATAGTAATAAAATATAAATACACTTAATTGCTGTTCATTGGAGATAGAAGATTATTACAATAAAAAACTGACTTTATGATATTAATAATCATTATTATTATTTTTAATGTGAAATAGGTTTAAATTGGATCATTATTCAATAACTAGTAAATTTGATTAAACAGAACTGTATTGTTTAATTAAATTATTCATGTATAAAAAAAATATTTTTTTTTATTCTTCAATAAAACAAACATTGAATAAAAATAATTGAGAAAATGTGATAGGTGAGTTTTAAATGACAAAATTCTGACGAATTTAATAATTTTCTAGTAAAAAAATATTTAACTTTTCCACTGGCAGTTTAAAAAAACATACATGGAAATATTTTTGTTGTAAAACATATTACTATAATTCTTTGTAATGGATGTATCTTAACTTTTTGTTAAAATGTATATTCACTATTTAACTTCCTTTTATTTGAATGCATTTAATTGCTCTAGAGAGAGAGAGAATAAAATATTTAATAAATGTAATTAATTTGCATCATTTATATTATAACAATATAAATAAATAGAATTATTAACTTTATTCAAATAAAGTATTAACAATATTTGCTAATTATTTAATCATCATTATTGAGATTAATTCAGGTAATTATTTTCAATGAATTATCTTTGATAATCTCAACAACAATGAGAAAATAAAAATAAGTATTAATTAGTAATTGACATGATGTCCAGTGAAAATTCCTGAAATACACTCAAAATGTCAATACCATCACTACTACATTATGTTTATTCAGTTTGAGAAAATGTACGAAGTATCAATCAATTAATTAATTAGTCTATCAGTCAATTGGATTAATCAACATTTCAATCCTTATTATATTTTAATAATATAAAACAAAGTACATAAAGTGACATTATGTTGATAGAATATTTTATTAATGTAATTAAAAAAGTTACTAAAACGATAAATATGATAATGTAATTTTCATTAATATAATAAAGTGAAGACAAGTATAAAAAAAAAATAATACTACGATGTTATAAAAAGCATTGAAGAATAAACATTACTGGTTTTACTAGTAGTGAAAGAGAATTTAAACACGTATTGATGACATATTGGTGAACCATTGAGAAAACTGTGAAACGAGTCTACCATGAAAATGGTCGTTATGGTTTATTGAACTTTCATATAGAAGGATGTAGTTAATCATCATTTCTGCCGAACTACCTTCACTTACCCTCGCTCATCAAAATAATTCCATGTCACTCTGGGGTCAGGCGTTGGAGGTTGCAGAAGCTCGGATGACATGATCATCATAGTGCTATCAGAATCTACATATCCGTTGGATACCCCAGTAGAAAGAGCTAGAGATATGGACTCTTTCAGTCTTAATGCTCGATTTTCACTCTGAAACAAAATATTGCTGTTATTATTCAATTGATACTTTTTTTTTAAAATAACTTTTACATTAAAAAAACAACTAAGTAAATTGAATAATTGTGTAATTCTAGCTATTTTGTGAGTAATAGTTTATGATTTGATATAAAATAAAATTTTTTACAATGAAATCAGGATGCAATATGAGATTTAATCTTTTAAAATGAAGTCATGGAATTTTTACTAATTCTTTTAGCCAATGTAATTATATTTCAATAATATCAGGAATTAATAAAGAACTTGGTATTTATTTACTAACATTCTTTATTAATACTCATGATCCTACTCAATAAAATTTTGATTGAATATTGATTTAGTGATGATACCAAACATTTGAATCTTCAACATGAGCTTTCTGAATGATTAACATGATTGCATACATTCTACAATATATTTGAAATATAAATTTTATTTATTATTGTAATAGATTAAATAAAACTTGCGAAGAAAATCGACCACTAATTTTAAACTTTGAACACAAAAATAGAAAATATCTTGATCAGCTCCAAGAAGTGTGAAAATCTAATCTCCAAGCTCAACTAAAAATAATTCAATATATTTTTCCATACTCTTTGATATGACACATGGGAAACATGTTCATATATTATTTGATTGCTGATGTCTGCAAGTAATAACACATAAGAAAAAGTTCTTCTCTTTTTCCGATAATAACGTCTTAGTCAGCCTGAAAGCTGTACATATACACATCCAAGAATGAAGCAACTTTATACAGACAAAAGACAAAGATTATAATCTCTTACTTGTGGAGGCAGAAGTAAGGAACGCAAGCATGAGATTTATGTAAAAGATAAAATGACAGAAGTTGTTGAAGAATTTAACTACTCGAGTTGCTGGTTTTGCGAGAATCTCGCCAAGAGGGAATCTGTAAACAATATTGAAGGAATTACTGGTAAGATAGTTTGAACAACATGGGATTTTCTTTATAGGACGATTTAAAGTGTCTTCTAAATAAAATACTATTCTTTTATTATATATTTCTTCTAACTCATACCAATTTTTCATCATTTCAAATAAAAACAACAAAAATTATACGACAATTTTTCATAAACTTCTTTCATTATTAAAAATGACTATTACTATGAAGAATATTGAAACATTCAAGACATTTTCACGATAAATTGGAAATCTGAATTAATTCTTGACTTGAAGGAAATGGATTCAAAGATTTGTTCACTGACGTTTTCAATATAAGTACATGAAATAATGGAAGCAACGATTGGAGGTAGTTCTTACATAGACTTTGTTGAAGTAAGGAAATTGAACCATTTTAAAAAGTTTATTCAGCTTCTTTTAATCCTACTTACTCACAAAACACTCATCTCTACACAGATCATCATACTCTCCAGTAAAAAGCAATAACATTTAATTTATTTTTTCTAGAAATCAATTTTTCATCAATATCTATCAGATATTCCATCAACCACTTCATGATATAAACAAAAAGATACTGAATTTTTTTTAAGGATAAATAATGACCAAGTTGTAATCTATTAGCTTCAGTTTAATAGATTCGATCCAATAAAATAGGTAGGAATGCACTGATACCAACAAAACAAAGCATTCAATAATGCATTAGCCATAGACTACCATGAACAAAAGCTAGCCATTTAAATCTTTTTCTCTTAAGATCAGTGATTTAAATCTTCTTAATCTTCTTAAAACTAAACGTTCACTAACAAATTTCATTCCATTTTGCTGATGATGTCAGAGTTACTCGATAATACCTCTGCTGGATTTCATCATGATATTTTCCATTATTTTAAGCTCAAGTTCACTTCTATGTCAATACTAGAACCAACAGAGTACAAAGTATCAGTTGTTATTAGTAGATTCGTAGTATTGGGATTTAAAATTGGAATTTTTTTGTTAAATTTCACGATCTGAACTGCTGAAAGAGCTAGAAACTTTGTGAAAAATATGAGAATGAGAGTTTGCTGAAGAAATTGTTGTAATGTTAGTGTTGTTGGAAAAGGATTATTTGAAGTGTATTTTTAATAAGATTAGAAACTATGCTCCATAATGACTTTTAAAATAAAAATACTTTTGAAGACAGTTTCTAACCCTTTGTAACAATATTATACAGAGGGTATAACATCTTGTTCTATAACAGGATTAAAAGTTACGATCCGATTTAATAGGAATTTGTATGTACATGATAATTTAGGTGAAATTATTAATCATTTTATTATAAAAAAAACTTATAATTAAATATAAAAAGGTCTTCTATTTAAATTTTTTTTATATTATACTTTATTATTTAAAATATCGAACGTATTATTATTAAAATAATTTTTATTAATAATAATTATTATTTATTATTTAAAATAGAACATTATCATTGTTGTTTTACTTTTTTTTAATTTAAAAATGGGTTTAAATGATTTATTAGCTGAATAAAAATCAATATCTCTGTTTTTGTTTTTAAATTAAATAGAAATTTATAAATCATCGAATTCGATTTTTCTCTACCTATGTTCATATTGTTATTTACCAGCAATGTTTACAAATTTACTGAATCGAATATAATCGAGAATTACTTTTGATTATACGCTTATTTTATTTATTTTTTTCTATCCAAATGACATACTTTTGTTAATCTCAACAAAAACCTTATTCCATTAAAAAATAAATTATTTCCACAATATTGTATTAACTTTCCTCTTTTTAAATATAAATAAACGTACACGAGAGAATAGAAATGAAGATTGAAAGCCGTTTCTAAGACGTAGTCTCGTAGAGTAAGTAAATTGCACAATTTTGGAAAAAGTTTATCAAACCTCTCCAACCCTATCTCACTTGCTAGCAAAGTACAAAACTATCTTAAAAAGTATATATATATATATATAAGATAGTAAATTCCTATAAGAACTTAAAAAATCTACAAAGTACAAATTGAAACCAACAAAGTTGGGATTACTAAAATCAAAGATATTTTCACTTGAGAGATATTTAATCAAGCATGTCTAGAAGCAAAACGTTGACATGACATGTTTAAAAAACGGTAATGTAATTGGGCTTGTAGATTGTGTAGTAGTGAGTAGAAGAGGTTGGAGCATAGCAAACGTTGGGAAACATATCAAGTGCTGGAACACATCAGATGCAGGGAAATTAGGAGCAAGTAACAAGATGAGACCAACAGAGAAATCGAAGCATCACCAGATGGGGAAATTGAGGTCGACTTGAGGGTGGCTTTCAAGTCTCGTCTCAAAGTAAGGTGATTTATATTGGATGTTATTTACGTGAATAAGATAGCATTTGTCATTTCTCAACTTATTTTAAATTTTATTCCTGTGCTAAATCCTCTAGAATAAAATTTAAAATAAAATTACTGCTGAAACATGTTGCAATATAAAAGATACAATATTACATTGACATTTTTTTTTTATTTGCTGAAGAAAAATGAAATCATATTTTATTGATAAATTAATGTTTAGTCTTTCCACACTTATATAAATACCTAGAAATAAAGAAAAAAATTTAATCAAATATTTTTCTTCATGTTAAATTGGTACAGTGTCTTCTCCCAACAGGATTACTTCATCTTCTTTACTCTAATAAACCATTTATGATGATCACCAAAGACATCTAGGCTAAGTGAGAGGTAGAAAGTACTAGATGACTATGTTTTAAAAGATGATTCCAAAGCTAATAATTTATTTTAAACTATTGCAGTATTTTATATATATATATTTTTTTAATCAACATTTTAATTAACCAAATTGATAAATTTAAATCTGTTTATTTTCATAAAATATACTATTGTATATAATTCTAATCAGGTATTAATTTCACAGAATAGTTATACAATAAAATCATGGATATTACTCTGTGATTCTCCAACTGCCTCGTGGCTATTATATTTATACAACGATATCTACAAATAAATACCCCAAATAAACAAACACGTTACCACATATTCGTTAGAATAGATTATTTAACAATCGAAATTAAAAACTAGAATACGTGAAATTCACAAAATAATTAATCCTCTTTTATCTTTTACAGATCAACTTGTGGTTTTATTCAGATATATATTATGATTTATATCTGTCTCTGAGGTATTTTATCTTTTGTGTTGAATGATAGACTCGATGGAGTAATCAAAATGGTATTGGAATCAGTTCAATAGTCTTCACGTTGTGAGTGAATAATTCTGAAAGATATAACTTGGTATAATACTTCTTATCCATGTCTAAAGATAACTTGAGGAAACTATACAGTACAATTATCTCAAATAAGCAGTATAGTTCTCTCTATGACTATTATTATAATTACTAACTATAATAATTATACCTTCATATAAACACTCAATAACAAATAGATGAAAAGTAGAATTAATTATTAACAAAAATATTTGCTGGTCTCTTTTTTCATGCTTCACAAGTTTTATTTATTTATTTATTTACTTATGAAATAGCTTGGACTGAGTTAATAAAATTTCTTTTTTCTTTTTTATAACAAAACTTTGTTTGCCTATGCTTTGAAAATGGTTTCAACCAATTTCATTTACTGAGAATCAATAAATGCAATTGAAAATCATTTTACGTTGATTCTATCGAATTTAATTAAATTGTTTTGGAATTATTTTCTAAATTGAAACAAAAAATTGACAGTAAAAAAATCTATGTCTGATTTATTTACTTTATTTTGTTCAATGTTTTGCTATGCTTCAAGAATCAATCTATGCTTCATTATTAATCTTGATAGATATTTATCATAAAGAAGCTTGAAAGTAAAGTAGACTAATAATGTAATAAAAATTTTTGCTTTCAGATGACCAACTATCCTATATTGATTTTGAATCATTCAACCAATGAAGATGATAAAAATGAGCATAATGTAATTCTGCTAATAAGAAAGCTTGAAGGCTCATCACCTTATTCACCATTTGTTATGACTTTGACACTTTTATATGTCAGTTATATAAAAACTTACTGTAATGCAAAAAA